GGGGGGGGGGGGGGGGGGGGGGGGGGGGGGGGGGGGGGGGGGGGGGGGGGGGGGGGGGGGGGGGGGGGGGGGGGGGGGTCGTTTCGGTCGTTGGGGTGTGGGACTTGACGGAGCTAGGGAGCGTCCGGAAGAGAGTCGTTCAAGGGGAGGTAGCTGTATGTGTGTTCTGTTGTTGTTGTTGTTGTTGTTGTTGTTGTTGTTGTTGTCGTTCACACCCCGAAACCGCGATGGTCCTTATCGAGTACCTTCTCTTCTTTCGTACTCATCCAAACCCGGAATGACAGTACTCTCCACCGCCACAGGCTAACTCGAGCGCCGCTTCTTTCATTACCCTCGATTGACCTATCCGTCTGACCTACGAAAGCGAAGGTCGGCTCGGTCTAGTTGGAATGCGAGTGTGCAAAAAAGGTGTGTGGGGTCCGGGTGGCGGCTCAGGTGGACTGAACACTTATCTATTGCTTACTGAAGATGCAAACTGCTTCGGGCTGGTTAACATCAACAAAGAGTAGGTCGCACAAGCTACCACACACTTTGGACCGACCTTCAAAGCTCGATTACTCTGCAAATGGAGGCGTTGGAACCATCTCGTCGACAATTTTTTCCGAAAATTTATCATGTAATATTTGCATCCAACCTTTTGATCGTGGATAAATCGACATTCGGTCCACGGAGTGCGGTATCGTTTGCGACCTTTTCCTACCACGGTACAACATGGATCCACAAAACCATATCAAGTGCATCGACGGCACAGGGCTCACCAGGAAGGCTTGCCAAGGGATTCAAGAGGGGAGGTTCGCGGCCACCAGAAGGGCGTAGAAAAGGGGACTACTTCTGTGACGCCATGCGCATTTGGCTGCCACAGGAAAGACAGACACTTGCTTTGGCTGGGCCATCTTTGTCACTGCTTTTCGATTGGCTCAAAACACTTGTTCCTAGAAAGTAAACACTGTTCTTCAGATCTACTGCTGTTGTACTGCGTGCGGTGAATACTGGTGAGTGACGAAAACAAAAAGAGGCACAGAAGCACAAAGACGCAGCTGCAAAAACTTCAGCAGGGCACAGGGATATCAGCTAAGGGCACGGTATCCGCCATGGCCTTGCTTTGTTGTAGTGGACACCAATGTCCGTGGTCAGGTTGCAGTAGACGGAAGTAAATGTCCTCCTAGTAGTGCAAGCAAGTGGCAATGGGATCACTACTCGTGTTACTCCTGTTCTTAGCATACGATTCCCCGTTCGCCTTTTATTTGCAATTCAGATCACCGCTGCTGCTGTAGAAAATAGTTCCCCTCTATTTCCCATACTACGGCAAGAGATACTTTCACTATGATAAATGTACTACTGTTGTAGGTTGTGCCTATGTCCCCCCCTGGCCGCTTCATCACACGTCATGCTCACAGTTGATCGGAACAACAGCGGATAAATCAGCGGTCTCGCAACACGAAGCATCGCAGCAGTATGTAGTTTACCTGTTGCCTTCCAGTCGTTGAACCCGCTTCATCGCCGCATTCGGGAATGGACCTGGTTCCCACATTGTGTGTGTCGGCCCTCTCCGACGCAGGTGATTATTGCCTGTGCTACGTACTTACTGCTGTGTGCTGCAGCTGTGCAGTGTTGGGTTGGTTGTTTGGTTGCCCGGCGGGGCCCCGCAGACTATATTCGCGGCTACCTCATCCCCCCATTTCGGAGTTCATCACACAGCACAACACAGCAGTCACCAGAGTACAACACCCGCAGCTAGGCAGGTCAAAGGCATGGCCACGACTGGCGATGGAGCTCGCCGGTTTATGCACGCCCTGGCGGCGATGCTTCTCGTGGCGTGCTCCTTTCCCTGCGCCGTGGGGGACGGTTCCAGCGCTGCGGCAGTGCTACAGAAAGCCAAGGCTCTTCGTGACGCCGTGGAAGACAACAACAGAGCGCCTCCCGCAGCACACCCTGTCGTTGTAGTTCCGGAACGGGATAGCCCAGGGTCGCTCTTGGAGCGCGGTACCGCGCTGCTGTATGAAGGAAACTCCAAGGATGCTGTGGCCGCCTTGGATGCGGCGATCACTGGGTGGGAGGAGGAGGTACAGCACGTACACGGACCCGTAGAAACGAGAAATGCGGTTTGATTTTTGGTGCACAGTTGTTCCGCATCGCACAGCTGTTGTTGGTCCATTGTCCATGATTGCCTGCAGCGCTTTATTGTACTTCCCACACCGCCGTAGCGGAGGGTCTCGGGGCGACCAGGTGAACATTACCACTTGTAAGTGATGTTGCAACAGCATCACCCTCCTTACGAATAACTCAGGCGCTTAATCTCACACCGACAAAGGTTATCCGCAGCCCGCACGCCTGCAGTACTGCTGTACCGATAAATATCCGGTGGTATAATAGTTGGTGTCTTCGAAACCTTCTAGAGGTCAGGTCAGGGGTCCGAATCCCGGCGTAAGCGAGCCTTTCTTGCAAAGTGAGTTTTTCTCTCGCTTCCGCTCCTGGCCCAGTGGATAGCGCTAGTTCGTGTGTACACAGAGGGAAGAGAGTGCTGAACTAATCTCGCATCAATAATCGAAGGCAAAGTACCGCAGGATGGGAGAGTAGAGAGGGGCTCTTCTGTGTGACCACGGGTTGGTGTAAACGGCACCAGTGCTGTGAGCGCTGATTTGAAGTGAAGACAAAATATATAAACATACAATATATATATACTTCTCCCATCATTGGACTCTGTCGTTTGCCTCTCTGGCCCCTATCCTCCACTTCTACCAGCTAGACGACCCAACCTACCGGGGCCACATAGGAGGGGGGGTTGGACCCCCTCCTGGGGTTCCTGCCTGAGATATGTCTATCGCGAGAAGGGTACAGCAATCCCTTTCCTTGCGACTTAAGAAGTCGATCAAGTTTACTAACAACGAGTTTTGCAGCGCATCGCTTCCAACGGAGACCAGGATTTAATTAGCGAGAAAAAACTCACTTTGTCGGGACTCAAACCCATGACCTGGCCTTTGGCAGGCTGCGAGGTTATCCACTAGACCACCGGGGCGACCGGTGTGTAGTGGCCCAAATGCGGTTCAGAAGAGATCCTCTGGGCATGTGTCCACCCAACGAGATCCATAGTTCATGGTTCGCGTGCGTTGCGGGCCATTAGTTCACAGGCTGCTCCGCTGGTCTACAGTTGGTACCTTGAAGCACGCTTTAGCGGATAGGCTGAGAGCTCGAATCTCGGCCTTGCCTCCCCCCCACGGTCGCTCCTCCCACACAGGGCAATCATGCACCGGTAGATTTGATGGAAAGTTGATGGAAGGAATAATAAAACCTTCTCCTGTTTTACATACTGTAGAAGGAATGGATGCACGGCAAAGGGATCCGTCTGTTTGACCGCATACAGACCTCTTCATCAGTGTGGTTAGGCGAGACCAGGCGGTTCAGAGCAATTGCGAGCGACGGTTATTGAACGGCATGACAAGAGAAACACTGCCAGACGTGTCTGAAGCTGCCATTTGCGGTGCGGCACGAACGTTTTCAACCCCCTCCCCGGTCCCCACCTAACCATTGCCAAAGTAGGAAGGAACGATTGGCCATCGGTGATCGGTCCAGCCGAAACAATGCTCCGTCCACTCGAAGACGCGCGGTCAATGGTCTACCGACCCGTTTACATCCTTAGTACACCCTCCACCACCGCCACCTCTGGCCTACACGCGATCATCCCAGATGGGGTCGGAGAAGCTGAATAGCGAGGCGGCTGCGCTCACGGCGCAGCGTCTGGGAGAGGCTCTGGCGCTCGAGGGGGACCACGAGCGCGCTGCCTCGGTCTTCGGCAGGGCGGTTGTTGCGAGCGAGGCTCTGTTCGGGGTAAAGAGTACTCAGGCCGTGGCGTGTTTGACGGGCCTCGGGCTCGCCTTGTTCCAGCAGGTGACAGTCAAATGCAGCGCCAAAACGGCAAAGTGTTCGACGTGTATACGTGTTGGGTGTACGGAGCGTAGCTGCCGACACTTCACCCCCCCGCCAGGAGTAGTTCCGCCGGCGTTACACGTACCGTGGCGGAGACTCTTGGTGTGGAATATTGGTTTGTGTGCTGCAACATGCATTCATGGCTCTGCCGTCTAAATCACGTCTCCGTTGTTCATTTTTGGGAAACCTCCTTGCTGCCTCATGCACTCATTCTCTCCGCTTTCACTCCTTGTGTGCAGGGCCAACTGTCAGACGCAGCGTCCACGCTTGGGAGGGCACTGAGCGTCCACGCGCTCAGGCCGGACGAGGGCATGGTGACGTCCACCCAAGACGTGACCAAGACCCTGGACGGCCTGGCAAAATCACTGCTTCACCGTCCCCCGGAGGAGGGCGAGAGCGAGCTTGGCGGCGCATTGCTGGCCGTGGACCACATCAACCGCCTCGCGTGGCGCTATTTCGTGCAGAAGCTGCCGCATCAGGGGGAGTCCGTCATGACAGAGGTGGGCGTACTCTTATGTTTTGCGTGCCTTAGCGGTTAGACCNTCCCTAGTCTATCCTAACGATATCCCTTCCCGCCTTTTCAACCCACCTCTTGTGCCCCAGTACAGCTACCGTCCTTTCCTCTCTATTCCATGCCTCAAACATCTCCGTACATCCGCCATCTATTTTTCCCAGCTCAGTCACGTACACTTCCCTCTCCTTCTTGTACAACGGACATTCCGCGACTACATGAACACGGTCTTCGCATTCGAAGCCGCAATCACATTTGAACTCGTCGTCTTCCTCGTCTACCGTCCTATGTCTTCGTCGACGTTCTCGAAGGCCTATGTCCCCGGTCCTGAATTTGACCTTAAGCTTTGTTCCTGCATCCATTGGTCCATGTAGGTAGTCCTTGAACCCTATTCCTTCCTTCAACATTCCGTACACTTCTAGACCCTCCTTATCCTTGGATTCTTTCCTCAGATTCTGTTCTTCTCTCTCGGCACAAGCAACAGATATCTTCTCCTTGAACCCCTGTAGACCCTCCGTTTCCAGCGTTTCATCTTCGTCGATGTCGAGCCCCTTCCATACGTCCTCTACAACCTTGACCCATTCCGTGGGTTGTCTACCCCTCTTTTTGTTTGCCCACTTCGCCTCCCATACAATTCTCGGCAACCTCTCCTCTCCCATCCCGCACATGCGATACTGCCAGGTCAGCTTCCTCGCGTCTCTTCCCGACCGTAGGGATTGGATCCCCAATTCTGCCCTCACGGCTGCATTACTTGTGCGCGTGGAGCATCCTAGGATGATTTTCGCTGCTTTCATCTGCGCCGCCTCGAGTTCTTTCACTACCTTCTTATTTCCTTCCCATACTTCTCCGGCGTACTCTAGCGGCGGTACGATTACGCTCTTCAAAACCGTCAATTTGATGCGTGTATCGAGGTGCCGGTTTGCGAGTATTGGGTGCAGCTTCCCTGCTCGTGCTTTGCCCTTTTCCGCTACCTTGGACATGTGTGCATTCCACGAGCAGTCTTTTGCGATCTCTACTCCAAGGTATGTGTACTGGTCCACTACTGCAATCTCCTCGATCCCCCACTTCCATCTATGTTCTACTGGTTCCTCCTTGTTCTCGTTGCATACCATGACGGCACTCTTCTTAACGTTGGCAGACAATCTCCACTTATCAGTAAACTTCTTCGCCGCGTCAATTTGCAGTTGCAGTCCCTCAGGGGTGTCCGACATACCGACAAAATCATCCGCAAACAGCATTCCTGAAACCGACGTTTCCGTGTCCCCTACTTTTACTCCCTTCCGGACTGCCTCTACGACTTCCAACAGATCGTTGATGAACACCTGGAACAATGTTGGGGACAGCGTGCAACCTTGTGGGACCCCCTGCTCAATGTCGAAGAATTTTGACAGTTCTCCGTCTAGCATGACCGCGCTTTTCGTGCACTCTGTCATCTTCTTCAGCACTCTCCACATTTTCCCCTTGATCCCGTATTTGGACAGTTGTTTCCACAACCCATTTCTCCATACGGTGTCGTATGCCTTTTTCACGTCCAGGAAGAAGCAGTACGTCGGCTTTCCCGCCCTCTTTCTACCTTGGATGATTCTCCCTACCGTGAACACGTGGTCTACGCACCCCCTCTTCTTGCGGAAACCTGCCTGGCCCTCACTAATGCTATGTTCCTTCTCCAATACTCCCACTATCCTATCGTTCAGCAGCTTACAGAACACTTTTCCTACTGTGTTCAACAGTGTGATCCCCCTGTAGTTTCCTGGGTCAGTCTTGTCTCCTTTCTTGAACAAGTTCACAACCACTTCTTCCCTCCATCTACTTGGCGTATTCTCGTTTTCCCACACCCAATTGTACAGCAGTGCCATCAGCTGGATCATCCCCTTCCCCCCAAACTTCATGAACTCGTTGACTATCCCATCCGCTCCTGCTGCTTTGTGGCACTTCAGCTTGTTCACACACGCCTCAACCTCGTCCTCAGTGAACTCCTTTTCTAGTTCTACGTTCCCAACGTCTGCCTTCGATGTCTCTTCTTCTTTTTGGGCCCATGCGTCCACCTCCTTCTTAAACGCTTGG